TAAATAGAATTCGAAACGGTGTGTGCTGATGATGAAGAGATAACAAACATGTTGAAACTCTGAGGAAGACTTTGATAAAGTTTGAAACTGTGTACTCTGACGATTAATAAACCAAAATAATGGGGCTGTAACTGAAGAGTGGGAAGTGAAAAAGGTGAAATGTAAAAGCACAAATATTTATGAAAAATTCAACAGAGGAAAGGAACATTAAAAATATATTTCATGTGTTTATGAAATAATTTTTATCGCTATTTAGTTCCGAAAAGTGTCCGTAATAATTTTTCCAAGAAGCTGTTCATCTTTTTTTCAAACGATGCAAAGGCAATGAACGCAATATATTCGACGGTTTCAAAATCACATCTTGTGTTATATGCGGTAATCAATGAGAAAATACAGCATCATGACGAGTAATTTCCGTATCTTTTCAAACATTTTCAATATATTTTTCGTGTAACTTCTGCAATTTGAAAAGTCAGAATCAAGACATTATTACTCTTAGTATCCATGAGACAAACGTTTTATTTCTTCATCAAGAACTTTCATATTCACCACTTTTACACAGCGACGACAAAACGTGTTTCACAAATCCATTTAGTAAATTCGAAAACTTCAGGTTTTTTTGAATGTGTTAGAAAAACCTACCTTTTCCTGATAAAAGTCAGGTATAAACAATGGTTTTCATCCACCTTTTGCTGATAAAAGTCAGGTATAAGCAATGGTTTTCATCCAGAGAAATTGTTACTTGAAGTTTATCAAAGAACTGTATTTTTTCTAGTTGTTTATATGTATACACATCCTTTTAGCTAACGATTATTCAAGGCAATTTTGAAAACCTCGTAATTTGGGCATGATACTATCCATATGAAGTTGTATTTCAATACAACATTTTTCATTGTTCACTTCAAACATTTTTATTGAATTATTTTCACTCCAACTAGTCTATATGCGTAACTACACCAAAGTCGTGTTTCAATGCACCATTTTCTCTCTGCTTCGTTCGGAAATTTCTATTGTTGAATCCCATTTATATAAAGTCGTGTTTCAATAAATTTTTTATCGTTTAGTAGGCAAAGAGTTCAATCTTTCATACAATATTTTTGTTTGTTTAACTGAAAATTGTCTAGGATGTCGCATTGAAGTGAAAAATATATAGCATGACCTTTTGAAAAAGTGTATACAGGGTGTTTCATTAACGTTTGTTAGAAGAAAAATTATACAAGGTGTTTCAAAATACAATACAATGAAATGATAATATAAGGTGACGAGGACCTCAGTTTTCAACGTGCGATCCCTCATTGTGTACATCTATTAGGACTGATTGTACTGAATATTAACTAACGATTTGAAATAGCTTTCCCTGATGAGTTTTGAATAATTATGTTAACGTACAACGTTGATCAATGATTTTTATATCTGATTAAAAAAAGGGGTTGGTGAGTTTGCATTCACAATTGTTGAGGAAAGTAAAACGTTTTCCGCTATGCATCCTCATTATTTGAAAAGAGGTTGTTGATAAAAAACTATGATTGGAATAAAACACATTTTAAATGAGCGATATTTAATATCTATTGGATACAAGAGGGCCTCTACATAATCTATGAGTCACGATTATTTCATTTTCTCTTTTGAAACTGCTTGACTTCGAATTACCCTGTTGTTCTACGTCATCCACATAACTGTGAGCTTTTATATTAGTATTCTTCATGCGCTGCTCATTGTGGGTTTTGCGTTGAGTATTCCTTCTTCTTTTTGGTGAAAACAATAATGAAATGATGTTTCATGCTTCCATGAGCGGTTGGCGTTCACTGGTCCATTGGATTTATATCTTTGTTTGTGGGCATTGGTGATTATTAAAATATTTTTGTATACAATCAAGTCTTTAGCTGTATAATGTCGAAGAACACATTTCAATAATAGTTGAAGTAGTCCAGGCGTAAGATTGAAATGTTCGTTTTTTATAACAAGTTCATCGTTTTCATATTGTACAGGGGTATCTCCAATGACATCCATTTTCGAAACGGAGCCCATATATTAGATTCGATCGTTCTTTGGTGTTCTGAAATCCCCTTTTGTTGGGGAACTGGTTCCTTCACCGCGCATTTATTGAATGTCGTGTTATCTGACATATTGACTGCAACTAAATTATTTTCATTGAACACGTCTAGATATGCGTAACCGCCACATACTTAACCAACTGCGCTTAGCGAAACTGACACATAGCACGCCGAACCAAACCATACTGCCCAAAGCGTAACTGCGCAATACCAAACTATACCGCGCTCGTTGAGGGTAGTCATTGGTCGTTTAATCTCGACAAAGTCGGAATATCATCATCTCCATTTATTTTTCACAAAGTGGAAAGTGAGCAGTTGGCGTTCACTGGTCCATTGGATTTATATCTTTGTTTGTGGGCATTGTTGGTGATTATCAAAATATTTGTGTATACAATCAAGTTTTCAGCTGTACAATGTCGAGGAACACGTTTCAATAATAGTTGAAGTAGTCCTTGCGTGAGATTGAAATGTTCGTTTTTATAACAAGTTCATCGTTTTCATATTGTATAGGGGTATCGCCAAAAACATATCCATTCTCGAAACGGAGCCCATATATATCAGATTCGATCGTTCTTTGCTGTTCTGAAATCCCCTCTTGTTGGGAAACTGGTTCCTTCACCGTACAGTTATTGAATGTCGTGTTATCTGACATATTCACTGCAACTGAATTTTTTTCATTTGAACAAGTCTATATATGCGTAACCGCCATATACTTAACCAACTGCGCTCAGCGAAGCTGATACATAGTACGCCGAACCAAACCATACTGCGCAAAGCGTAACTGCGCAACACCAAACTATACCGCGCTCGTTGAGGGTAGTCATTGGTCGTTTAATCTCGACAAAGTCGGAATGTCATCATCTCCATTCATTTTTCACAAAGTGGAAAATGATACAACCACACCCACCTACGAGCATTGAATTACATCACCAAACAAATTCAAATGTGATCGCAACGATGTGGCCACATCAAGTAATTCATTATATCTCATAGCCCAGTTAACAGAAAGTTACATAAAAAATGCGAAAATATTAATTTTCGATCATAATAATTATCGTTCTGCAAAGGAATTGGTTCAATGAATCTATTTATCTACAGGTTTATATTCCTAGGGTGTAATTTCATAGAAATGATATTGAAATTTCTGTCAAGTTATTGAAAAAAACTTTGAAATTTTTATATTTTTTATTATGGATATCTAAACATTGGAAACACCATTATACCCCAATATATACAACCACATTTTTCAAATAACAGTTCAGATTCCTTATTACTGCAAAAAGCTGTAAATTCTTCATGATTCTTAATGTGAGCGATGAGTTTTGTAGCATATCCAACGTATGAATATAATTGAGGATTTTCGGATTAGAATTTTTTTTCAAAGGGTCAAAATCCATGGTTGATAGCAGCACAAATGCTATTGGTTCATCGTTGTCGTAAATAATGTGACAAGAGATTGTTTTTTCGCAATACCACTGATAAATCAAATCACTTTCAATATTCAACTGTCTAATTTTCATAGCAGCTTGATGACCGAAAAATAACCGTATTGCTTCCATCTTCGATAATAGCTGGGAATGAACTGAGTGATGTGTGTTTTATTTATGAAATAAACCCTCAAAAATCTCCCCTCCCTACCCCCTTTTTATATCGAGCAATATGACCTTTAGTTCAGCGATATGTATTCAGTTGCTCTGCACTATTCATTAGTCTTCTTTAGAACGTTGAACGTTCAACACTTAACTTTTTTGTAATTACAGCATGTCAATGTTTGCTGATCATGTGCGATATATTACCACCATCCTGGTGATCATAACCCCAAATTATGATGATGAGATTGCTCAAGAGGGTCTTCAGGAGTGTATCAAGGCTATGAAAAGGATTCGCAAAGCGATGAAGAATGCAACTTCTGTGGGGGAGAAGCAACATTTAGAAGCGTGTTTGAGGAACATTACGATGATGCGTACTAAATTCAAAGTTTTGCAGAAAAAGGAGGCAGGGCAGACACCACGACCTGAGGGTGCTAGAGAGCGAGTTTATTGGGATGATATCAAGTCAGCATTCAATTCTACAATCAGATCTATTGTTATTTCCAATTTCAAACATAAGGATCCCGCAGCTTTTATGGATGACTGCAAGGCTCTTTTCAAGCGGAGAATTCAGAATGCTCTGAAGAAGGATGAATCTGTCAAGGTAAATACCAACTTCTGCGGAGAATTTGAGATAGTGAAGGGAGACAGAGTACTGAAGGAGTACAAGTACTTCACTACTATGAACTCTCCCATATATAGAGACACCGCCCTCAACGATTGGTTCGATGAAAAAGTTACAACACCAATACTCAGAGAGCTAGAGGAGTTTCATGAACGGGATAGCGGCTGGGCTTGGAAAAAGTGGTTAATCTAGGGGTTAACATTAACAAGTTTACTCCTCAACTGGGATCATCATATATTGAGTTGTCACCTCAGATCCTAAAGAAGCATGCATGTATCAATGTTAAAAATGATGACCAAGCTTGCTTCACCTGGGCTGTTGTTTCTGCTCTGTATCCTGTGCAGAAAAATGCTGATCGTACTTCATCTTATCCTCAGTATTCAACGGTATTGAAGCTGAAAGATATCCAGTTCCCTATGACTTTGCAGCAGATCCCAAACTTTGAGAAGCAGAATAACGTTTCCATCAATGTTTACATCCTTCAAAAGAAATGTAAAACGTTCATTACCAATGGCAAAGAAAGATAGACATGTGAACTTACTTCTGATTCAAGACAATTATGATGAATCTGAAACTGCAGTCCGCTATCACTACGTATGGATAAAGAACTTATCAAGGCTCTTATCGAAACAGTTGAGTGGAGCACATGGTCAAAAGTCCTTTTGTGATCGCTGCCTACATTACTTTCGATCCCAAGAGAAATTACAGAAACATACTGAGGATTGTGTGAAAATGAATGGAGCAGCTATAAAGATGCCAGAGCCTGGAAAAGATATTTTGAAATTTAAAAATTTCAAAAACAAAGAAAGGGCTCCATTCGTCGTATACGCCGACTTGGAATCCATTCTGAAGCCTACTGATGATCCTAAAAAACTTCAACATCATATTCCGGCAGCTGTGGGTTACTACTTGAAGTGCTCATACGATGACACTCTATCCTTCTATAGGGCATATCGTGGAGAGGATTTTATGCAATGGTTTGCTGATGAGATGAGTCAACTAGCTGAAGATATGACTTCAGTGTTTTGGTGTCCCTTCGACATCGATATGACTGCAGAGCAAGAAGTTGAGTTTCGAAGAGCTACACACTGCCACATCTGCGAAGAACCCTTCACTAACGAAGATAAGAAAATAAGCGATCATAACCGTCTCATTCCATGTGATAATTATCGTGGCCCCGCGCATGAAGGGTGTAATATAAACTATAAGGACTCTCATACTGTTCCTGTTGGTTTTCATAACTTGAGTGGATTTGACAAAGAAAAGTATATTTCCTTCACAAAACACGTTGACGATACACCAATTCAATTCAGATTCATCGATTCGTTCCGTTTCATGGCTTCTTCATTAGATAAACTAGCATCGTATCTTCCAGAGTTCCCCAATCTGAAGTCGCAGTTTGCCGATGTGCCTATGGAACACTTCAAACTTTTAACGAAAAAAGAAGTTATGCCATATGATTATATAGATTTGTTTAGTCGATTCGATGAACCATCTTTACCATCCCAGGATGAGTTTTATAATAAAATGGAAAATAAGATCTGCCCCCGACGTTTTTATCAACGAGCTCAGGATGTATGGACCACGTTCAACTGCCAGAATCTAGGTGATTATGTGGACTTATATATGAAGACTGATATTCTCCTGCTAGCTGATGTCTCCGAAATGTTCAGAACCTGCATCCTCAACTCACATAAACTCGATCCTGCACATTATTTCACTTTACCCGGCTACACGTGGGATGCTATGCTGGAGTATACTGGGATTGAGTTGGAACTTCTCACCGATGTTGATATGTTTCTCTTTGTTGAGTGTGGAATACGAGGTGAGCTCAGTCAAGTTTGCTCAAAAAGGAGATCGCATGCAAATAAAAAGTACATCAACAATTATGATCCCTCCAAACCAACAACATTCATGATGTACTATGATGTCAACAATCAGTATGGGTGGACAATGAGCCAATATCTTCCATATGTAGGCTTTGAGTGGACAGATTCCAATATAGATATCACTCAAATTCCTGATGATGCCGATGAAGGATACATTCTGGAAGTGGACTTGGAATATCCCCAGCATTTGCATGACAAACATAAAGATCTACCATTTTGCCCGGAAAATATATGTCCTAAGACGAGAAAACCTCCAGTAAAAGCTAAACAGCTTCCAAAGGTGATGGCTACTTTACAACCGAAGGAGAAATATATTATACATTACAGAGCATTGAAGCAGGCTTTAGCACATGGATTGATATTGAAGAAAATCCATCGTGTGTTGAAATTCAAACAAAGTCCATGGCTGAAGTCCTATATCGATTTAAATACAGAGTTACGCGCAAAGGCATCAAATGAGTTTGAAAAAAATTTATACAATTTAATGAACAATGCAGTCTTCGGTAAAACTATGGAGAACGTTCGGAAAAGGGTTAACATAAGACTTCTCACCGAATGGAGTGATAGATATGGAGCAGAAGCCTACATTGCTAAGCCTGAGTTCAAGTCTTGCACCATATTCAATGAGAACTTGGTGGCTGTTGAGCTTAATAAGCTGCAAATTTTCCTAAACAAGCCTATATATGTAGGACAGACTATTTTGGATTTGTCAAAGACAACCATCTATGACTTACACTATGGATATATGATGGAGCGTTTCGGACACGGCTGTACCGTTATGTATACCGACATCGATTCTCTCATATACGAGCTGCGACAAGACCCCTACGAGATAATGAAGCGAGACTGTCATCAACACTTCGATACTTCGGATTATCCATCCAACAATCAGTTCAACGTTCCTTTGGTGAATATAAAGGTTTTCGGGATGATGAAGGACGAGAACAATGGCGTACCGATGACGGACTATGTTGGACTTCGTTCTAAATTATATTAATGAACAATGCAGTCTTCGGTAAAACTATGGAGAACGTTCGGAAAAGGGTTAACATAAGACTTCTCACCGAATGGAGTGATAGATATGGAGCAGAAGCCTACATTGCTAAGCCTGAGTTCAAGTCTTGCACCATATTCAATGAGAACTTGGTGGCTGTTGAGCTTAATAAGCTGCAAATTTTCCTAAACAAGCCTATATATGTAGGACAGACTATTTTGGATTTGTCAAAGACAACCATCTATGACTTACACTATGGATATATGATGGAGCGTTTCGGACACGGCTGTACCGTTATGTATACCGACATCGATTCTCTCATATACGAGCTGCGACAAGACCCCTACGAGATAATGAAGCGAGACTGTCATCAACACTTCGATACTTCGGATTATCCATCCAACAATCAGTTCAACGTTCCTTTGGTGAATATAAAGGTTTTGGGTATGATGAAGGACGAGAACAATGGCGTACCGATGACGGACTATGTTGGACTTCGTTCTAAATTATATGCAACGAAGGTACTGATAACTGAGGGTGATTATGAGGAGGAAAGAAAAAAATTGCTGAATGAGGGAATGAGGGAGGAAATTGCGATGGAATTCAAGAATTTGGGGAGCACCAAGAAAGCAAAGGGAGTTGAAACATCGGTTGTGAAAACGACAATCACGTTGGATGATTATGAAGAATGTCTCAACAATTGGAAATGTATGAGTGTCACTCAGAGACTAATTCGCTCTGATAAATATCAAGTGCACTCCATCGTCCAGGAGAAGATCGCCGTTTCCCCTGAAGATGATAAAAGATATCTAATACTCGATTCTGATGAAACTTCACTATGGAGGCATTATTGCATAGCCGAAGAAATGGATATATCATAACTTTGTGAATTCATTAAAATGAAATGTATGACTTGATATTGACTATTTCTGCTCACTCCCGCAATGATAAATCTTTTGAAAAATCATAACTTCTCAAATGCTGGAAACGCCTGCATGTAAAACTGTTTTCGATCTCATTGGCTATAGTTATATGATGTAAATTCGATATTGAATATTTCTAAACACTCCCCCCTACGATGACAACATTTAAGTATTAGTGCACAAACAGTTACTTCAAGGACACTTTTTTGTGGTTATGATATGCCTACTGGGGAAACTTCCACAATAAAAAAAGGATAACGCATGCGCAGTCCTACCTCCTGGGTGATGTGGAAACGGACTTAGCAAATTGTCATCTTGGAGGAATGTACAGAATTTCTTATACTCAGTCAACTCCAACAGTTGTCATATACCTTCTTCACACAATGAACTTGACATAAATTTCTTGCTCTATAACATAACAAACTTTTCTCTCAATAACACGTCTAAAGAACTTCGTGGGTTATGTTTCCTATTACAAACAGTTTACTGCCTTTCTGTTAGACGATATTCCTATTTTTTTGAAAATATGTAACAATGGAAAATGCGTTTTCGAAAGCAGTTGATGTGCATAAAATTTTGATTAGCGAAACATTCTAAATAATGATATGAAGGAAATGATTTCGATATTTCGAATATTAAATTTGCATAGTATTTTGAGGTGAATTTTATTGGCTGATAGTCTGTATTTTCAGACGAAAATTAATTGGAACCGAAAAATCGGTTCTAGTTCATACCATACACGATTTTCGATCTTTCTGTCATGCGTTATTTGTTTGGAAAATGTGTGGCAAAAATGACGTTCTTTCGAAACGATTGGAGCTCCTGAATTGGCTGTTTCAACGCATTGAAATTTTGCGAAATATTTTATGCGATAATCGCGGCATGAATGAACGTTTCATCGCGCTAAATTTTTGACATTTTTTTTGAAGCGGTTCTCATGTTATTTTTGCCTCATTTTCCGTGGCGCGATGCAATGCAAATCATATGGGCTTTTAGAAGAAATGAGGGTTTTAAAAATGCATTTTTTTCGATGCGATTCAAATGACAAAACTGGCTATTTTAATGCATCGAAATTTTGCAAAATTTTCAATGCGTTTTTCGAGACAAAACTGAACGTTTTATCGCATTATATCCTCCTAGATCCTCGTTACCACACGTTAAAACGATAGAGCCCCGTTAAACTGTCATCTTTCTCAAATGACGTAATTTGAGACACCCTGTACACATCGATGTCATGTTTTTTTTCTTAAACGATGAGACACCCTATATATCTCGATGTCAGTCATGTTTTTTTCTTTGAAGCTGTTTTTTCTTACATGGTGTATTTTGACGCACTCTGTATACTCCGCTTAATGCCTGTTACATTGTCGCCATGTTTTTTCCTTTAAATGACGCATTTTGAGACACCCTGTACACACATCGATCGCGCGTTAAAATATTACAGTCCCGTTAAACTGTCACGTTGTTTTTACTCAAATTATGTATTTTGATGCACTCCTGTATATTCCACTCAATGCCCGTTACATTGTCGTCACGTTTTTTTATTTAATACCCTGTATACCCATTTGTTCTCATTCCAAGCGCTGTACGCGTGACCTTGAAAGGAACCAAAAATGCCAGAATGGACCTCAGCCATTTTCCATGTTAATCTCCATAAGGAATGAGCCAGAACTCCTATAGCCTATTTACTGAAATATTTTAGGATTGAGAAAATCTTGGGGTTTGGTTAGAAATTAAAAATTGTCGAAAGGGACAACTATTTTGATGAGCCGATTTTGATAGATTGTACATGTATTTCTTGGTTACGTATAACAAAAAACTCGTCGATTTTGATATTGCACGTAGCTTTTGTATACCGTTACGACCTTCACAGCATATGACATCGGCGTAACTATAACTGAAAATTAGAATATGCCATCACTTTGATTGAAAATGAATTCATTCACCTGTCATTACCAGATTTCGACGTCAAGTTTGGTTTGACTTTGAAATAAATTCAAGCTTATAATATGTCGACGTCATGCTAGATGGATGTGTGTGAGGTACCCAAAACAGATGCGTAGACTCAACACATAACATTTTACAGGAGAACGGACTGACATTTCTCACGAATATGCATGTCCAACATGAACTACCATATATTTAATGATGATTCAAAATGCTAAGGTTTAACCTTGAAACTGAATAGTAGGTTTTTTTCGATGGTCGAGTTTTCATGTATGCCGATGACACAACAATCATTGTGACGTCCCCAGGTCTGAATGAAATTGAAAATAAAACAAAACTATTGATTAATCAATTCGAATGTAATGAACTCGAATGTCAGTGTAGAAACAATCATTTGATAAATGATGGAGATGAAACAACATTCAACCAGTTTTCAAGTAAGTATCAGCACCCTTTAGGTTTTGAAACAACAGAATATGCAAAATTCGTTGGAACACAACTTGACAATAAATTGTCTTTTGATAATCACATCGTATACTTGTGTACTTCTCTGAAAAAAATTTATTTTGCATTCACCACAATAAAATCAAATTTTTTGAGACATAATCTCTTGGATATATACTATGGTCTAGTGGATTCTAAGCTTAATATATACATACATATAACAAGATGAGACAACCCGAGACAAATTAAGACAACCCGAGATCTACCTGAAAGAGTGTGAATTCTGAAGTATATTTATAATTAGTAGCATTATAATGACTCATCAAACCTCTACCTCTTGAGAGGGGAAACAATTTTCAATTTTGGGTTTTTGTTAAAAAAGTTTCGAAACGAGATCCATAGAGAGAGTTGTCCACGTGTTGTATTAGATTTGTATGTTCTGTATACTCACACCAACGTGAGATCCGTCGGTAGTGCGCAGCCATTGTTGAATTTGGCGCTAAAATGCGAACCCTCAGCAGGTGCTTGATAAAAAGACCACGTGACAGATATTAGTTCGTATCGGAACAGGTCAATTTCAGTTGCCCTTAAACACACAATTGAATTTGAAGATATATTGAAGATAACTGCGAAATGTCGCGGGGAAAGTATATAGTGAAGTAGGTGGAATTACAAGTGGAAACAAATAAGGAAATAGATAGTTTCTATAATTGTGTTATTCCTCTTCACCAAGGATATTATTACTCCGTTAGAGTCATTGACCAAAAAACTTAACCTTTCTACTCTACTTTTACAAGAAAACGCGAGCAATAATATGAAATGTGTCTAAATAAGGATTTATAACATTCAAGAAAAAGTTTAATTATGAGATTACGCCATTATCTTCCTGTTGAACAACACTCTTCTAGTCGACGATTATCAACCCATGCCAGGTGGCAAAAAATAATTTCTTTTTTCAACACGCTTTTATTTGATTCACCTGTAACTAACAAATAATGTAATAAAATCTTGGAAGTTAATTTTCACCCACTTTCAATCGTCTGAAGAATATGAAATTTGGCAGACATATCAAGAACCAATGACAATACAAGAATTTCGTGATGAGAATGCAATAATAATTATAATAATAATAATAATAATGTCCTCGACCATCAAAGTAAGACGATGTTCGTCATAGAGTTTTCGTCTCTTGGCGAAACGAACATCGCTTCGTCCGAAAAGATGAGGAATAACGGACGAAATATCGAGACTTTCTCTTTGAACTCCGCAGGCTCTACCCAAACCATTCTGTAAAAATGGTGGTTCTGATCATAGGGGTTCTTGATGGAATGATGGACACGCGGCTCTCCAGTCTGAAAATCATACCGGTTTGCCGTGATGCGGCAGAAATCTTAGCCGGAAGAATGTAGAATGCCGTCATCCTTGGTTCACTACGGCTACTCAGGGCACATGATTCTCGAACCCAGTAATCACTCACCCCACGGACGTGGGGAGTGGTTATCTGAGTGAATGATCCAGTGCGGTTTCCGGAAGTATCGGGGCTCCGGAGCTAGGGCCTGACTGGGATATCCTTTTATGAAAAAAAAATATGATGTGAATTTATTAATTATAAATTCCACCTGCTTCCAATCTTCCGAATAATCTAAAATTCGGCTTACACATCAACGACCGACGACAGTACAAAAATTC